TTATTGTTGTGTGTGTGTGTGTGTGTGTGTGTGTGTGTGTGTGTGTGTGTGTGTGCGTGCGTGTGTGCGTGCGCGATAAAATCATTGCATTACTCAGGCACAAAGTCGCCACTTTCCACATCTTGCCTTTTCCTAGATCCGCTGTGATCTAATATCGGACTGATAAAAGTTTTCCCAGTAGCATCTTTAATAAGTTGCGTAGTACTATTAGACTGTTGTTGCTGCTGCTGCTGCTGTTGTTGTTGTTGTTGTTGTTGTTGTTGTTGTTGCTGCTGCTGTTGTTGGGATACAATAGCTTGTTTTATATCGCTCTAGAATAAAGCAATTATATGCGAAAGTAGTTTGCTATGAAATTTAATATTTCTGTTAAATTGTTATTATCACACTTATAATCATATTTACCATTTGTGCAGATGTTAATTGTATAGTTTTGGTCACTATAGATTCTCCTGCTTTCGACGTTGCCATTTTAGTATTTTGTAAAGGTATTGTTACCAATCCTATAATGTTTAAATAGAAAGCAACGTGTGTGTGTGTGTGTGGCATGTACGCGCGCACACGCACGCATGCACGCACGCACGCACGCACGCACGCACGCACGCACGCACGCACGCACACACACACACCTATATACAAGTAGTGTGTGTGTGTGTGTGTGTGTGTGTGTGTGTGTCAATATTGAGATTACAATCGTAAGAAAAAAAAGAATAAAGAAAAAATACTTACTTTGTCCTGGTGTAGAAGGATTTTGCAAACTAATAGTCCTAAGAACTTGCGTATTCGATGATAAAACCTAATTAAGAGATGATATGTGTATAATATTTATTAAAAGTCATTTTTTCCAAGTATCATTGCTTTAAAGAAAAATATTGAAAATATTTTCAAATGTAGTTAAGTTATAGTTTAGTTTTTATAAAGCAATTTCTCACAAATATTATTCGTCACACGCACACGCGCGCGCGCGCGTCTCCACACACCCACCCCCCCCCAACACACACACACACACACACACACACACACACACAAC